GGGGGGGGTTAGTCTTAGCTTTTATGTTTTAATTTTTTCAAAGAGAATTATGTTGTTGTTGTGTCAAATCAATTTTGACTCATCACAACCTTATAGAACAGAGTAGAATGGTCTCATAGGGTTTCCTTGGCCATAATCTTTGAGTCAGGTCTTTGAGTCAGGCCAGGTCTTTTCTCCCATGGAGTTGCTGATGGGTTCCAAGTGCTGACTTTTCGATTAGCAGTCAAACACCTTAACCATTGTGCCACCAGGGCTCCTAAATTATATTCAAGTATGTTGTTGTTGTTGTTGTTTGCCATCGAGTCGGCCCCCTGACTCATAGCGACCCCTCCTTGGGTTTCTGAGGCAGTATCACTACGGAAGTAGGATTGCCCAACCTTCCTTCGGAGGAGTGGCTGGTGGGTTTGAACCGCCAGCCTTCTGGTGAGCAGTCAAGTGCCTTAGGCACTAGGCCACCAGAGCTCCTATATTCAAGTATAATTTATGAAATTACAAAGGTGTAAAGTGAATAAATATATAAAAGTATCATGTTGTTGTTGTTATGTGCCATCAAGTTGGACGCGACTCATAAGAACCCCTCCTTGGGTTTCCGAGGCAATATCACTATGGAAGTAAATTACCCAATATCACTATGGAAGTAAATTACCCAATCTTCCTTCCAAGGAGTGGCTGGTAGGTTTGAACTGCCAGCCTTCTGGTTAGCAGTCAAATGCCTTAGGCACTATGCTACCAGAGCTCCTAAAAGTATCACATATCATATGATATATAAAAGGATTTATATAAATATTTATATAAATATATAAAAGGATCCTTCTGATTCTTGAATGATGTTATCCTTGTGCAAGTTCACCTCATTAACAGTCTCATCAGTAGCTATTACTCCTCCACAAGTTCCTTCTCTCTGCTTTAAACTTACAGTCATTAGCCTTCATTTTCTCCTTTAAGCAGATGGCCATGAAATTAACATTTCCAGTCCTGTTGGCTCTAACTACTCATGCAATAATTCCATTCAAATTTCCTGTCCTCGTCTCTAAATCAAATATCTAAAACAGAATACATGCTATTCTCTCTGAATTCACCCTTCTTTCCAACCAAATTCATTCTAATCTCATCATTTCTCTGGGTTACTCAGGAAAAGTGGAAAGTAGTACCCTCCCCTACACTTTTAGGTCCTTTTTTTATATCACCTTGTCATTCACAGCACTTTTGACAAACTATTATTATCTTGTTTGTTTACTGATGTGCTTGCCTTTTTGACTAAAAAGAATATAAATATAACATCTATGAAAATTAGAAATCTTGTCTGTCTTAACAAGGATTCTGTTCTTCATATTAGAGTACAATGTCTGGCACATGTTAGTTTCACAATAAACACTTACTGAATGTTGGGTTACTACTTACATTAGTTTTTACTCATAATAATACAGTATGTGAAATATTACAAACTGCTTTTTAACTTTTTGTTGTGAGCTGGGTGAACGTTTTACAGAGCAAATTGGTTTTGCATTCAACAGTTCACTTTGATTTGTGACAATGATTTGCAATCCCCACAACGTAACAACACTCTTGCCACTTCCTCTGTGTTTACCATTTCCCTTCATCCTTTTTTCTATCCTTTCCTGCCTTTTGAGCTTTATCCCTGGAAAAATGCTGCTCTTTTGAACGTCTACGATTGCTTGTTCTAAGGAATGCCATACCTTCCTGGTGTTAAGGTTCACCTTATAGGCCTATTTTATAAATAAGGAACTGAGGCCTAGAGTGATTTCACTCACAGTTACAACACTGGTAAATAAGAGAATGAAGAGTAAAATTCAAGTGTTCAAACTCCACTACCCTACATTTGCCTTGTAAGATGAATAAATTAAAAAAGCACACCCCCACACACACTTGCTTCAAAGAAATGAAGTTGATTCAGAAATGCTGACTGCCCAGAAACTATCTTTCGTGGATCAGTAAGGTCATTAAGCCACAGGCTCCGGGTATTTATGAACAGGAAGGATTAAAGAAGACAAAGTACATTTTTATATACTTTGGCAATTCCTCAAAAAGTTAAACATGGATTTACCACATAATCCTACAACTGCACTCCTAGGTACGTACCCAAAAGAGTTGAAAACAGGCACTCAAACAAATACATGAATGTTAACAGCAACACTATTCCCAATAATCAAAAAACCAAACTCACTGCCATCGATTCTAACCCTTAATGACTCTCGAGTTTCCTAATGAAAGGATAAATAAATTGTGATATACACATACAATGGAATATTAGCCAACCTTTAAAAGGAATGAAGTACTGTCTAGGCAAAAGGGAATATACCCGTAAGTTTACCAGATAACATTTTTACATGCATACTTGTATGTGCTATAAGGAATGTCCATATATATAATAGAGCTAACAGGGCAAAGTTATGATAACTTCTTAGTCATAGCCAAACAACTTGAAGGAGTGAGTCACTGGGCACATGGGCTCAATAACCATGGTCACAGGGGACTTCAAGCTCAACTGGCATAACATACTACACAAAAACATTGTTCTACATCCTACTTTAAGGACCTCTGGTGGCACAGTGCCTACAGCATTTGACTACTAACCAGAGGTTGGCCAATTCAAACCCACTAGCCACTCCACAGGTGAAAGATGGGGCAATTTACTTCTGTAAAGATTTATCACCTTGGAAGTCCAATGGAGGTCACTCTGAGTCAGAATCGACTCAATGGTAGTAAGTTTGGTTTTTTCACATCCTACTTTGGCGAGTAATGATTAGGGTCTTAAAAGCTTGCAAACAGCCATGTAAGATGGAACAATTGGTTTCTCCTTGTCTGGAGCAAAGAAGAATGAAGGAAACCAAAGATGTATGGAAACTAGTCCAAGGGACTAGTGGACCATGGGAAACTCAGCCTACATGACCCTGAGACCAGAAGAACTAGATGGTGCCCAGCTACCACTGTCAACCACTGGGAAAGGGATCAAAATAGGAGATCCTGGATAGAGTGAGAAAAAATGTGGAGCAAAACTCAAAATCATAAAAAAAAACAGGCTTACTGGTCTGATAGAGACTGGTAAGACCCCTGAGACTATGGTCCCTAGTCACTCTTTTGGTCTGGAATTGAACTCACTCTCATGGCTTCTGGCCAAACAATAGACAGGACTATAAGGTGAACATTTATACCAGGGCAGTGTACTTCTTAGAACAATCAACCATGGGAGATCAGAAGGGTAGCATTTGCACAGGGAGACAGCTCAGAGGGCAGGAATGCACAGGAAAGGACACAGGGAAAAGCTAATTACAGGGAGGAACTGGGAAGAGAGCTGTTACATTATGGGCATTGCAATCAATGCCATGAAACAAAATGTGTATGAACTGCTGCATGGAAAATGAATTTGCTCTCTGCACTTTCACCCAAATCACAATTTTAAAAAAAAACAACAACCAACTATGGAGTTCTATTCTGCACAAACAGGGTCATCATGAGTCAGAAAAAAAAAGGGGGGGGGGGAATGAAGTACTGATATATGCTACAAGGTGAATGAACCTCAAAAATATTAAGTGAAAGAAGTCAGACACAAAAGGTCGTATATTATAAGCTTCCATTTATATGAAATATTCAAAACAGGTAAATCCTTAGTGATAGAGAACAAACTGGTGGTTGTCAGGGGCTGGGGAATTTGGGGTATGAGGAGCAACTGCTTAAAGATTATGTGGTTTCCTTTTGAGGTGATGAAAATGTTTTGAAATTAGAGAGGTGTTGCTTGCACAACATTGTGGATGTATTAAATGCCACTGAACTATACACTTATAATGGTTAACTTTATTATATGAATATACCTCAATTAAAAAAGAGAAATAATGCATGTAAAGTGCCTGGAAATAGGATCTGCTCCATAGTGAAAACTTAATAAATGTTAATTATTATTTAAAAAACAAATGAAGAGGAGGGAAATGCAGAATAGAATTTCAAATTCTCATGGACTCCAGACTTCCTGGAGCCATGAAGGCTGCAGGAACCCTTGAAACTACTGCCTGAGATAATCTTTAAACCTTAAACCAAAACTATCACAAGTCTTAAAACCAAACAACAGTTTAGCTTAACTGGTTACAAGTGTCTGCCTTCAACATTAAGCTCTTATGTTGTTGTTGTTGTTGTTGTTGTTATGTGCCATCAAGTTGGACCCGACTCATAGCAACCCCTCCTTGTATTTCCGAGGCAGTATCATTATTGAAGTAGATTGCCCAATCTTTTATATATATGGGATCAAACTGATAATAGCAATTCAAAAGATTAGACAGGAACCTTAGGGGGCAGTGAGTTTATATTAAAGGGGGAGGAACAACTCAGAAAAAGAGGGTGAGAATAGTTGTATAACTCCAAGAATGTAATCAATGTTACTGTACATGCAGAAATGGTTGAATTGGTATGTTTTGCTGTGTATACTCTCAATCAAAAAAAACAAACAAAACCCATTGCTATTGAGTTGATTCCAACTCATAGTGACCCTATAGGACAGGGTAAAGCTTCCCCATAGTTTCCTAGGCTATAATCTTTCTGGAAGTAGACTGCCACAACTTCCTCCCAGTTAGCAGCCAAGTGCTTAACCATTGTGCCACCAGGGCTCCTATGTATTCTCAAGAACAACAAAATAAAAAATAACAATGGAATAAAAATACATCATGAAACACCAAGATTATGTTAGGTATAGTCCATCCATTACTATTATCTAGAGGCATTACATCAAATTACACTGATGAGTCCCAGTCTACTCCAACTACTAACTGGAAGCTGCTCACTCAGCAGCAGGAATATTCCTACGGTGACCTGGCACCTTATCTAGTGAGGAAGTTCACAGAGAATAGGAACTATGTCTCCTTGATCTTGTTACCTCTGTAGCCATAGCACTTGATACGGTGGCTGGAACATAGTATATAAACAATATTGTTTGTCCAAGAGTGAATGAATGAATGTGAAGAATGCAAAGATACCATCAGAGACCACTCTACCTTGGCATCTTCTTGATCTTCCAGGGAAAACTCCATCAAGTCATCTGAAATATCTTCTGCCTGGTCTTCTCCTAATTCTGGGTCTTTAGCCAATTTTGAAACTGTAGTAATGGGGCTGCCCAGATCTTTCAATTCACTTTCCAATGAGTTTCGATTGTCCTAACAAATATATTGACAACATTAAAAACTATCCAGTAATATACCATGTTTCAGCCCTTTCATCCTTCCTAGAAATTGAAAATCTAAAACATGACTAATTTTATCCACTTAGGATGGGATATGTTACAACAGCTTTCTTATAGGGTTGAGAATAGCTCCAAGAATCCAAAATATCTGGAGTATCTTGAAGCCATGGTCTATGGAAAGCAAGTGAGTGTCTCGGTGATTTAAGAACCCAAAAGCTAAACGGACAAAGGACACAGTCATCCACTAGAGGGAATATACATAGTTAATATCAAAATGAAATCTTTATAAATTATTTTTAGTGTGAAATTAAAAAATTAGCAATTTTCAAATAATGATAAGAAATCCCATGACTTATGGATTGATCATAAGAATATAAATTCTTATAACTATTTGGGAAAACAATTTGTAATATGTATCAAAATTCTTTAAAATATCTATACCCTTTGACCTACAAATTATAATGCTTGCTACTAATCCTAAAGACAAAAAATCTAAAATGTAGGAAAATTTATGCTCAAGAATGTGCATGACTGTATTATTTATAAAAGCAAACTCTGAGGACTACTAAGTGTACAACATAGGGAAAAGCTTGTGTAAATTATGGTCCATTCATTAGAATAAAACCATGTATTAAAAATATTTATCAAGAGTTTTTAATAAGAACTTAAAAAAATAATAGAATATAAAATTATATGATATGACCTCAACCCGAAAATATAAAACTGAAAAAAAGTGAGATAAAATATTAACAATGGTTTTTCTCTAGTGGTAGTTATTTACCTTTTTATACTTTTGTGTGTGTGCTTTAATATTTTCATAATATACATATCGTATTTTTAAAATCAGGGGATAGACATTTAAGGAATAAAGTAGATGGGTGCAGTGTAGTAAATTACTTAGTATGGCTTTTCTACCCATAAGTCATTGTAAACTCTGGTGGAATGAGCAACTGAGGAGCTCCTGATTGTAAAAGTTATCCACCTGGGTTATTTCTGTTGGGCGTGGCACAATGCAATGTTATAAGAGGCTCACTCTCAGGTGTTTGGAATTCTGTTGTTATGATTGGTTGGTATGACGACCACTCTGCCAAGCTCAAAAGGAGGCCTCCTAGAGGCAGAACTCTCTCTCTGACTGCTGGTTGAGGAAGATGTGCTGCTGAGAGAGACATGCACCTGTGAAAGAGACACGTGCTGCTGGGAAAGAGATATGCATTGCTGAGTAAGACACCGAGGGACAGGCACTGCTGGGGGAGAGACTGTGAGAGACTTGGCTGAGAGACGGTGGGTTGGGAGGGAGACTGAGCGTTTTTTCCTGAACTTGAATTGTAACCTGGTGCTTCCCTAATAAACCTCATAATCTGTGAGTTGTGTGCGGCCACTGCAGTGAATCATCGAACCCAGGAGAGAGGTGGTGGTGTTTGGGAGGAACAGTTGGTGAAAGGGCTGGAGGAAGGCAGCATGTCTGGCCTTGCAGTAATAGGCCTTGGGCTATTGATGGTGATTCTGCCTTCCTCTTGTGGGGTTCTAGGAGGTCAGAATATGTGGCTTCCTTGTCCTTTTTGCAATGGGGAAAAATAAGTCTAAGAATTTGTTCTCCATTTTAAGTTGAAACCAATAAAATGGCCAGAGGACATATGCTTCCTCCTTTCCCTGCTAGAATTTAGCTCTCCAATCCCTTTTCTTACCAAAGTCAGCCTAGAAAATTTAAAAGGTCATAAATCCAGACTTGCCATTCACCTTTAGTTGACCCTTAATGATGATGTTCAGTGACTCACCAGTAGAGAAAGGGGAGACAGATAAGGCCCCCTTGGTGTCTTTTGAAACTTTAGGTTCCTGGGTGCCAACCATTCCAAGGGCTTCAAAGTATTGTTTTCCTAAAGGATAAACATTGGCGGGAGACAAAGAGGTGTTAGTAGGCCCTGAGGAAAAACATTTCATCTGATTTAGCCATGAATAACCCTCACAAAACAAATTAAAAGCAATCAAGTTGACCCCATATCCTGAAGATCCAAATTATGGTTTTGATTTTTATGTATGATATGGCTTGCTAATTTTATGATCACAAGCTTCAAGGAAGAGAAAAGAAGGGGAGCTTTACTGGGGAGGGGATGGTGAGATTAAAAAACCTGATCATAAAAGGAGACTAAAAACAAGAAAAAGATGATTAGAACAGCCAATAACATGGGCATATCTCAGTCAACGTGAGGTGGGAAGGAAGACAGAGAAAAGAAAAAAATGGTTAGAAAAGGGAATTAGTTGAAGGGATTAGCCAGAGAATTATCTAAGTGATTAGGTGGCTCTGGAGAGGTCACTTTTCAATTTGGAACTGAAGGATAGCCTAAGGCTTAGACAAAAAAAGGACCATGGAACAGGGGCTAAGAAGCTGGACTAAGGAAAAATAAGAAGAAACTAAGAAATCTAGATTTATATGGGAAGCCATGCAAGGAATCCATGAGCAGATTATATACACATAATTACTCTTTCTGTTACAAAAACAAACAAAAATACCCCTCCTAAATCCCTTACATTACAGAAACAGAGATTTTTGTTCTCAAAATGATCAAATGAGCATGAGTAATAATGATACCCTGCTATGGAGGACTTGAAGCTAGCTTCTGGCTTGGGTCAAAAAAAAACAAAACAGTGATGCTGTTTGCTTGTCTAGATATAAACAGCTCTATGTCTCAAAAGAGGAGCTCTGGTAGCATAGTGCCTAAGGCACTTGACTGCTAACCAGAAGGCTGGAGGTTCAAACCCACCAGCCACTCCTCGGAAGGAAGATGGGGCA